GCAAGATCCTCAAACACCACCCAAGCGTAACCCTTGCATTTGCCGGAGTCTTGGAAGGTTGCCACATGTACGTTAGCCACAGTACCGCATTGAGCGAAATGTTCCTCAATGGCTTCTTTGGTGGCGTCAAAGCCGAGGTTGCCGACAAATATGCGCTTGGAGGGGGCATGACCGGATGCTGCAGAGCCCGTCTGACCGTCTTCCTTGGGTTTGTCGGGTCTTCCAGCAAAGCTCTTTGCATCCTTGATAAGCACGCGACGACCCGTTAGGAGCTGCTCACTGAGGCCAATTGCCTCTTCGGTCGCCTTCTGAGTGGAGAAGTCGACATAAGCAAATCCTTTGTTCTGAGACTTCCCGAACCTTTCCGCGCCCTTGGGCATATGTATGCGCGTGATGGTCGTGTCCGCGAAGGAACAGTTGCTCGTGAAGAAGGTGCGCAGATCATCCTTGGTGACAGAAAAGGCAAGATTTCCAATCCAGACACCGTGATCGGAACGCTTTTGGGGGGCAGTAGTAGGTTTTTCGACAGCGGCCACAGCTTCAGTCTCTGTGGTAGACTCGGAGGGCTTTACAGTGGCTGCTTTCTTCGCTTTACGCAGAGCTTTCTTCGATGGTGGCTCAGGGGCAGAGACGTCAATCTCGATCTCTTCAACGTCTGTCAGCTTGCGCTTCTTTTGGGTTCCTTCCCCAATGCTAGCCATGACTAAGATTTCACGAAACTGGAATGGAACTTGACAGAGCTATGCTGTAGAAGTGGATCTGAAGGTCGCAATCGATGTGTTTCAGGGGTTATCACAAGAAAGAATATGCATGCGTGAATAGTTCTTGTCGCAGTCGGAGATAACTTAATTTTTTTTTCTCCATTCCCTATCGCTTTTCTTTGCGGCGGGCAGAAACACTCCGCCTTATCAACTTTGGGCTTGGCGGAATCCTTCCAGCCCCGATTCGCCGGTCTGCAAAGGGAGTGACCCCAGTGTCAAACACTCACAATCTCACTCCTCCCTTAACCAGTTTCCCTAGCCTCCTAATTCTAGAACGCCTCAACCCTTTCACCAACAGGAACAGGGAAAATAATAGAATCCACTCTTCATTCTCCATTGTGCTTCGTGTTCGTCATGTCCCAAACACTTGACGAAACAAGATCGGTGGCTGAAAGTCTGCCCGATGCCTCCGGCGGCGCCCCTGCTCGGCAGTCCTACAAGTCTTTCAAGTGAGCATAGACCCAAAGCAGTATGGTCCTTAGGCCACTAGCTAATCTTTATCGCCAATCAGAAAGAAGTTTGCGAAGCTCAAAATGAAGTTCGAAATGCAGATGGGGGAAAGCGAGGCGCTCATTCGCGAAGGATTGCGCATCGAGGATCTTTCTAAAAGAATTCAGGAACAGAATGAGTATGCAATACATCGCCCTCGCCTGGTCGACGCCCATCGATACTGACAGTACTACAGTCAACTTCTGGAGGTTCTGCTTGAGTTCAACGACAACCTCCACGTGTCTCCCAGTCTACGATACGACTTGAGTGCGCCAGGAGATGAGACCTTCCTGCCACCTCCCGATCGAGACATTCCAGCCTCTTACAATGATCCCGCCGTCGCGGGATCCATGCTAAAGGATGCCAAAGGTCGTATGGCTGCTGGTCGGATGACTGCTCATGCCTATCGAGAATTGGAGGAGGACGTTCGGCGAAGCAAAGCGTTTGCACCGCGCCTACAGTACACGTCCCTAACACGGGTGCCCCATTCTGCAACTTTGCCCGACAATCGACCCGAGGATCATTACCCCGCCCACGAGCTTGGGTTCTTGACTCCTGAGCATGAGACCGAGTACTACCTAGCGTTGGATGCCAAATTGGGCGATGAGAGTGCCATTGAGCAGCTGGTGTCTATGCCGAATAAGTCATCCCTCGTCGAGCGTACGCGGGATGCCAATTTACGTATCCCGATTTCCGTGCATAACTGGCTCCGACGAAATCAGCCCCAGATTTTCCTTCAAGATAACGAGAACGCTTCCGAGAAGTCTGGCTCTCGGCCCTCGCGTGCGTCTAAGAGAGCCACCGCCCAGGCTCGAAAGGACGAGGACGTGTATGATGATGATGGCTCTTTTGTGGAAACTGCACCGACCACGGGGGGTGCCAGGGGCAAACGTAAGCGGGATGAAGACAGTGGATATCGGCCTAAGGGTGGCAGCAGTCGCCCAAGCCGGAAGAAGAAGGACAAGGATGATGATGGTTCTACTCCTGCCAAGCGGACATCGAAGCGGTCCTCAGGCATAACTGCTTGAGCCCACAGTATCCGTCTAGCGTCATTTGGTTTAGGAGGGGAGGAATGGCCGGTAGTATCCCATTGGGACTCAGGATTCGGGTGATACTCCTCCGTATATTAATTATCGGGGATATTATGTTGGTCGGTTTTGTACTCTAATGAAGCCTGCACTTCGACAAAGCAGTATGCGGAACTGACATCTTTCTCTGGCTACTGAGCTTCTGTTTTACGTAGACAAGATTCGTAGTCCTTTTGTATTCAAAAAGAAAAAAAAAAAAAAAAAAAACAAAGAAAGGAAAGAACCAATTCGAAAGATAGAAGATGAAACTTCAATCATCAATGGAAAGGGGTTCATACTTGGAGTGAAGGCTAAATTAGCGGGATTCACGTGCATCTCCACCAGAAGTTTGTCTGGTTTGTTCCGGTCCGGAAAGTCTTCACAGAATGACCGACGAGAATGCAACGAATGTAACCACCTCCCAGCTTTTCCGTCCGACTCGATTGGCGAAAATTTACCTTGCCATCTACATATTCGATCCTTTGCAACTCGATAACTTTTGAAGCATGGCCATTACAATACTGCCCCCGGTGGTGGAAGATGTTGACCTGCCCAATTTCGACTCCGACTCAGATGCCATGTCCGTCGATTCGGATGGCGGCGTCGAATTGGCGACAGGCAATTCATCCAGACCCAACAAGCGTCAACGGTTGGTTGAAGGCACAAATATCGTCGCCGGAGTCTTGACGCCGGGTGAGGTTGTCACTGATGATCCGCAATGGATGAGGTTTGTAATCCTGCAACAACTGTCGTCTCTTCTTTTCTGCCCACCGTGACTAATGCCGACCCCCCGGCGCAGAGGTCATGGTACCTATACAAACCCGCTATCAACTTCAATCATCGCCACTGTTGCCGGTACGGTGCAGAAGACCAACAAGCTGCTTTCCGTTCAGCCCCTCCGTGCACGATACACTCCAGAAATCGGTGACTTGGTGGTAGGGCGCATTGTCGAAGTACAGTCCCGCCGGTGGAAAGTCGACGTCGCCGCCCCATTACTCGCTCAGCTGCCTCTCTCGGCAATCAACCTACCGGGCGGTATTCTCCGCCGCCGCACAAGCGCCGACGAACTGCAGATTCGAACGTTCTTCAGCGAAGGAGACTTGGTCGTGGCTGAGGTGCAGAGTGTACATTCGGATGGAGGTGCTTCGCTTCATACGCGGTCTCTGAAGTACGGAAAACTGAGGAATGGCGTGTTCCTCGCGGTGACGGGCACGGGCGGCAGTGGCGCATCTAGCTCAACTGTCAAGGGTGGTGTAGGAAGTGCGGCAGCTGCGACGGGCGCAGTCGGCGGTGTGGTCCGGTCACGGAGGCAGGTTTGGACTGTCAGCACAGCTAATGGGGGCGGAGATGTCGATGTGATTCTCGGGGTGAACGGCTATATCTGGATTTCGAAGCACGCAGACGGTGCGACGGCGGCCTCGTCGACAACAGAAAACGTATCAATCACGCGTATGGAAGAAATGGTGTCGAGCTCGATCTACTCCAGTCAGAACGACGATATCCCGCCACAGACGAGACGCGAGATCGCCCGATTGGCGCAGTGTATCCGAGTGTTGGTAAATGGAGGTATCCGGGTGGATGAGGAGACAGTAATGAGCGCCTATGAGGCCAGTCTTCAAGTGGATCTGGAACTGGGCGATGACGAGGATGAAGATGACCGGCGCCGAGAGGGAAGAGAATACCTGGAGGGCAGCAAAGCGCAGCGTGTTCTTGAGTTGGTCTTGCAACGGAAATAAGGGTGTTTGAGGGTAATATTTTTTTTGTATACATAGATGACGATGATCACTCTTGATAAGATGCTAAGATACCCCCTCACTCCCTTCTTCTACTTCAGTTTCTTCCATTCCTCCGCTTTGCAAGATAAGATACAGTCAACTACTTCTGACCTCAGCATGATTAACTCTGAATAGCTGTATGGTTTGTACAGGAAGAGGAAATGTGATCGCCTCCAAGCGATAAGGCCTAACCCCGCATCACGTGGTGATAGACTGGGCATTGATTGGCAGAGTCTGATTGAAAGAGACAGAGACAGAGAGAGAGAGAGAGAGAGAGAGAGAGAGAGAAAGGAGGCAATCCGAATGGTGAGAATAGCTCCGTGAACTCACAAAACCACATGCCACATGCCCGAGGCCACATGCAAAGGGGCAAATAACAAACAGATGAATGGTCAGCAAGGAACCTGGAATTGCGGAGTACTGTCTGTAATGTACGGTAATGTACTCCATACTGTACAGTACAGTACATAATAGGGCCGAACCACTCACTGACCAGTTGACTTTCTCCGTCTTACTATTCGGATTTCTTTTCTTGCCGCTGGCTTTCCTTTCCGTCTATTCTTTTCTTCTTCTTCTTCTCTTTCTTCTTCTCCTCTAATCCACTTCTTTTCTCTCTTCATCTTTTCTTCCTTCAATCGAAGAAGAATCTTTCCTTCTCAAAATTACCATGTCATTTGTCTCCGAAGAACTCTTTCTACAATCAACGTCTTCTATACCTCTAGCATAGCTTCTTTCCCTCGCCCTCACCCTTCTCACCAGAGGACCCTTACTTCTCTAGTTCTAAACCCAAGGCTATAAAACCCGCCTGTCAGGGACCAAACAAGCACAGGGAGAAAAGACCAACCTTTTCCCCCTTGATTTGCCACGCCGCCCATTCTCTTCACTTCTCCGCCTATTACAATATCACCATGCCAGACTTGCGTCGTCAGGTGCTGGAGAGCGGCAAGACGATCTCTCGCAAGGCCGCCTCTCGCGAAGGCTCGCGCCGCACATCGCGCACCGCCTCCGCCCAAAACTCTCGTCCTTCGTCGCGGCCAACTAGCCGCTATGGCTCGGATGAAGAAGATGCAGGAAATCTTAGCGATGAGACCACTGCTTTGAGGTAAGTTCCCTTTCTGCCGGTTACTCTTGGTTCTTTCCTTCCCTACTGTGTGTGCTCTTTGCGCCGCCCGCCTTCCCCGGCATGACATCATCGTCAACTTTTCCGAAATTTCTTGGCCTGACTAATGCTGATTCGGACGTGATAGCATTGGTTCGTTGGATGACCTCACTGAAGATCCCGACCAGGACACCAACAACTGGACGCAGGAACTTGACGATGTCGTTGCTGACATCCTCGATCGCAAACGTAGCAGTGTCCTCAGCCGTGAGGAGGCCTACGCCGCATTCTGTCGCCTGGCCAAGTCCCACTACGTCGAAGATAACATCCGTAGCCAGATCTCTGATCTGCTGGCGGCCTTCTGCCGCAGTGTCAAGTTCGAGTCCAGTGTGCGCGAGACAACACTAGCCCTGCGCGCCCTCGAGCTCCTGGCTATCACGGCCTTTGACAACACCATCTATGAGAATGTCGAGTCACTCCTATCCCGCAGCATTCGGGACTCCACCTCGACCTCGATCAAAGCCGCCGCCATCCATTGTCTTGGCGTCTGCACTATGTTCGGTGGCGCTGGCGAAGACGGCATCCTCGACCAGATGACCTTCTTCCTCGACATTGCTGCTTCCGATGGCCAGTCTATCGACGCCCCGGATGATGCCAACAGTGTTACGGCTGCGTTGCAGGAATGGGGAATGCTCGCTACAGAGATTGATGATCTCGAAGGTGAGAGTGAGGATGCGGTGCAAATCTTCATGGACCAGCTGGACAGTGGCGACTCGGGCGTGCAAGTCGCCGCGGGGGAGAATATTGCGCTCCTCTATGAAAAGAGTTACACCGAGCAGGAAGACGACGAAGATGAGGAGGACGAGGAAGGCCATTCCAATGACGCTGACTCCGACGAAGAGTCCTTCCTATCGCCCGGCGAGCGTTCCGGCCCCAAGCTCATCAAGCGCTACAATGCCTACCACAACACCCACGAGCTTGAGCAGCAATTGCAGTCGTTGGCCACGATCCACAACAAACGCATCAGCAAACGCGACAAGAAGAGCCTGCACAGCAACTTCACCTCCATCTTAACCACTGTTACGAACCCACGGCGTGGGCCCATGTATAATTCCGCTATTGATCAAGACACGAACCGGCGTTACGGCAGCAAGTTGACCGTTAAGGTCGGCAGCCAGGGCGTCATGAACATTGACCGCTGGTGGAAATGGATCCGTCTGAACTCGCTCCGTCGCATCTTGCAGGGTGGGTTTGCAGCCCACTATTTCCAGGGAAACCGTGCCGTCCTCGATAACCTCCCCGTGATGGTGCGCATGAACTTCGCCTCTTCTTCGGATCGTAGCGCTGCAAAACGTGCCGCCAAATCCCGGAACAACCGCCGATGGGCTGTCCATGACCACTCCGATGAAGAATATTAGTTAATTGATTTAGACCTTCGCGAAATTCGCTTTCTCTTACTCTTGAACATGCCTTTTGTCCAGAATTCAGATTCCCTTTACCTGCCCCGCATCTCGATTGATCATATTTGCCATTTACACAACCTCATATACGGTAGATGACTTAACCGGCGGGCTTACCTGACTTTTGCTTGACTTATTTGCATTTTCAGATTCCTGTCCCAGCTTCTTGTGTTACTCGTTCCATGTGTATTGTGGAGATACAGAGCCAATTGTCCTTCTAGTTATGGCTATTTCCTGGCATAGTCTGTTTTGACTTGCAAAAATACATGTGGCTAGCTAGCATAGTGACTGGTAATCAATACAAACGAACATCCTAGCTAGGCCGACCCTTACAAAGGCACATATGCAGCGTATGCGCGCTGTGGGAACAAAGTATCAAGCGGTCTATCCCATAGAATCAGAAACCGAGATATTAGATCGTGTATGTATGGAGGCAGGAAGGTTGGGGAATCCTGGGGCATTAGGCCTCAAAAACCGGCACCACGCCCGTCCAGGATTTCTTGGCCCGTTCTTCCCAGTAACCCTCCTTTCCGGGCTTCAATCGCCATGTAACTTCACCGCCCTCGGACGCATTGTCCACCTGCGCAAACCAGCGCGGCGCCCACTGCTCGCCAGCCGACTCCATCGCACGACGACGGGCACGTTGCCCTTCCTCGAGTTGAACCTTCAGCTCCTCGGCACGGTCGACATCACCATCCTCGAGGGCGCGCTGATCCGGTCGCAGCCGTGAGTCCGTCGCCGGAAGCTGCTCCGCCTCGATCGGGGTGATTTCATTCAAGCTCGCCGCGAATGCCGTCAAGCCATAGTGCTTAGGGGCATTGGGGACGAGTGGGCCCGCATTCCAGACTGCTGTGCCAGTTGGCGAACCATTCTTGGTGAGCTGAAGCGAAGTCGTCCAAGTGCCGGTTAATCCCAGGCCAAGGTCACGGCCACCGGCATCGACGGTCTTGGTACTAACTTCTTCACTGCGCCCGGAGAACATACCGCCGGCTTTGAAGGTCGATATTGTCTTGTGGCCAGTCGTCTCGTTGACGACTGAGGTCTCCCCGACAGGTTCGACGTACTTTTCACCAGCAATAATGTTGCGCAGAAACGAGGTTGCCGAAGCCCAGCTGTAGTGTTCTCCAGTGGTATGGAGCGTTAGGCGAATGCGACCCTCTGTCACAATCTCGGCAGACTTCCCCCAGAATTTCTGGGTGGGCATGGGGGACTGCGTCAGACTCCATTCCGGGCCGTCGGCCTGGTATGCGAGCTGGACGGGTCGGTGGGAGACTTTCTCGGCGATGAATCGAAATCCCAAATCCTCACGTACCAGCTCGTAGGTTTCGCCGAGCATAGGGTTGAAGGGCTTACGGATGGCGCGCTCCCGGACACGATTGCTTGATAACGGCGACAATGCAAACGCAGTCACGTATACGAGCCGCTCCACCGGATCAGAGACATTGGCAGCTTTGTCAAGAAGCGTTGAGTACTCAAGGACCTCGGCCGCACGCTGCAGCAGAGAAAGAGGCTCGTTGGAGGACACAGGCATAGAAATCTGGGACAGATCCTTGCCAACATTCTTGCGTAGAAACCCGATCAGACTCGGCGGCATTACTGTTGGTGCAGTGATAGTCTCGCGCCGCGGCACCGGTTCTAGAGGCAATGGCGTTAGCGATCTGGGCCGTACTGGGAACAGTGGCGATGACTGGTCATGGCCGTCACATGTCTCTTCCGGAATTGTTTCATCATCATCACTATCCGATGGTGCATCATCTGCGACGGCGTCTTCCTTGGCCAATGTTGAGGTGGCGTTGCCATTGGTCTTCCCGTCGCGAGAATCTTCATCCTCGCTGTTATTATCACCTTGAATGGTGAGCAGGGCCGAGGCATGGCCGTCATCCACGGCATCGAAGAACTCTTGCGACATCTCGGAATCAAAACTATGCCGTGACTGCAGGGACCGGCCAGGCTGACGACGGCGATGCTTGGTCTCGGCGATCAGACTGGAGAATTCGCTGACGACGTGGTCCAAATCCCGTAGGACGGCCATCAGATGCTCGTGAATCTCGTCCATGTAATCGGGGTGGCTAGTGATGCTACCGGGCTTGCGATCGCCATGAACCGAGGACGAATCGAAGGCGCCCGGAATGGCCAGCTGGGAAGACATGGAATTCATGGTGGTGCTGCGCTTCACGGTGGGCTGGATGGTGGCACTGCTCTTACGCCTCCAAAACGGCCTTCGGCCATCATTGGGCTCTTCTCCACTCGTATCGGTCGGGGTACGGTGAGGGCTCGGAGAGCGGCCGCGGGGCCGGTCCGGGCCTAGATACTTTGGATCGGTGTCCTTAGCCAGGCGCCGGACGGCATCACGCGTGCCGGACACCTTGCTGACCAAACTCTCAACTTGCTCCCAATCTCTTTCATCAACGGCATTGGTGTGTACGCGCCGAGAAGGGACCCGCAACAGCGGCTCGGATGGGTGGTTGGGGTCTTCGGGCGAGCTTTTGGAAGAGGACGCCCGTTCCAATGCACGCTTCCAGGCAGCGAACTCTTGATCATTACTGGCGCGAAGATGCCAAACTTCTGTACCTGAGTCAATCGAGATCTCGCGCGACTGCTGGTTGCAGGCAACTGCGGCCAGGTTGAGCGGTATAGAGCCGCGCAGGGCGGACGAGTTCCGGTCGTGATAGTAGGATAGGGTAGAGGAGGTGAAGTCGAGCGAGAAAAAACGACGCGCCCATCCCTGGTGGCGTTTCCGCCTTCGCTTCTGCAACAAACCCGTGTAGGTTTGAGCCGAGTCGATCTCACTGGGTTGAGTAGGCGGCGGAGGGGAAAGCATGCTGTTGCCCCGACGGCGCGCCGGCAGGGGCTTTCCGGCCTCGGTTGTCGCTGCAGAATCAGCGGTCCCCTGCTGTGGTTGACTCGCTGCGTGCGGCACTGGAACTGACTGTGGCGGTAGAGCTGTTGGGTAGGTGAGCAGGACAAGGGTCACGGTCTTGGAGATCTGCTTGGAGAAGGTATTGTCGAAGACCAGCCCGTAGTTACCTCCCTCGTTGGCAGGGACATCGTAGGTACCGCGAACTATACGTTCGGCCTCACATTTTCCAAGCCACTGGACCTGCTTCAGCCCAATGCCGGTTAACCGCTCAATTATGGAGCCATTGGCGCGCCCGCCGGTGCCGGCGGTGATCGGGTCGGGTGATTCGGAGCTGGGAGTGTCGGCGGCCGCGGGGAGGTTTGTGTTCGACCCAAGGATGGCGGAATTGCCGGGATGTTTGAAGATACCGAAATTGATCGATTTTTTATGTGGTTGGATGCTCCATGAGATAGTGTGACAGGCCTTAACAGCAACCCAGCGGACAAAGTAGGACTGGCACGCAGTAGAGTTGGAGGTCAGCCTCAGCACGATCTGATCGGCGCGGAGAAATCGATGCAAGGCGAGGATCGACTCGGGATCAAAGGGAATAGGGGGACACGAGCGCGTCAGTCATCCATCCCTTACCTTGCTGTGGATCTCCAACTCCTCCATGGCAGCCATGACGGATGCGGGGAAGCAACAATGAGGGGGCTCGGGGCCGAAGGCAGGTCAATCGAGGATGGTAAACGAGCAAGAAGATTCGATCGCTTCAATAATAATTCGAAGGGCGACGATGTTGATGATGGAGAGAAGCAATTGTTGACTGGGGGAAAAGGGCTTAAGAACAAGGCTGACAAAGAGAATTGAGGACGAGGCACAGCTGCACGAGGGGTGGTCAGCAAGAGGAGAGATTCCCTTGTTGCAGGGTCACTCACACACACAGACTCTCTCTCTCTCTCTCTCTCTCTCTCTCTCTCTCGAACCAGAGAATTCAAGTAGAATTGAGAAGCATTGAGTAATGAAGGTGTAATTCCGTTGATTAAACAAGGAGGGACGAGGAAGAGGAAGAGGAGGTGGTAGGAGTGGTAGTAGTAGTAATAGTAGTGGTGCAGGTGGAGGTGAAAGTGGAGGAAGAGACGAGAAGAACAAGGAAGGCAGGAAGGAAGGGAAAGGGGAAAAGCTCCCCGAAACAGCAGAGACTCTGAGAGAAGCGGGAAGTCAGCCGAGAACAACTTGGCTATACTCTATACTGTATCCTCTGTATCCTGGATACTATCATACTATCACGGTGTCTACACTACACTTCTACTCATCTTCTCATTTTTGAGTCCCCTACGGTCGGTCGGTCCGGTCGGTCGGTCCGGTCGGTCGAGTCAGTCACAAGCAAACAGAAACGTCCCCCGAATCTTGGTAGAGGAATTCAAGAATGAGAGAAATCACCAATACAGTGCCAATCAATCAATTAAAAGCTACTGCGAGACATATCCCGGGACTGTATAATTTCCCATAATAGCACAAGTAAACCAATAATGCATTCCCGCACCCTGATGCAAGGACAATGATGAAGGGAAAAAGAAAAAGACACAAAAAAAAAAAAAAAAAGAAGATATCAAGAATCATACGGCAAAATGGACCAAGCAAGGCCATCAGGATCAATCAATGCCAAGGGAAACCGGAATGAATTACACGAGAATGGGAGAATCAGAATAGAATGTGTGAAGACGAAGAGGAAGAGGAAGAAAAGGTGACAATCCATCCCTCCTAATTTCCTTTCTTCCAAGCAGTTACCATCCCAAATATTACACAAGTATACACAAGAGGAGAAAGGGCCTCTCCTTAACGGCGCCTACCCGCCTGCATGTTGGTAAATAGCAGCTTGAAGCCATTGCACAAGGCCCGCATGTCGGGATAAGGGTTGCGCTGCAACTCATATCCCTGAGGGATCACCTTCACTGGCCAGTTGTGCGTCGAAGCATTCTCGCCCGCCTTGAAGCACAGGAAGAAGTAGCCGGCGTGCTTGGGGTCTAGACAGAACGCGTAAGCCGACCGGCGCGGATTGGCCTTGGTGTAAGTCTCCAGCCAGGAGTCTGAGGAGGGAAGTGTTAGCAAGACGATGAAA